TCTTACATTGGATGTTCAAGGTCCATTATATGAGTGAGAACATGTGATACTCGGATCTTTGTTTCTGTGAGAGGTCACTCAGTATTATAGACTCTAGTTCCATCCAGGTTGCTGCGAAATTCATGATTTTGTTCTTTTTTATGGCTGCGTAGTATTCCATCGTGTATATGTACCACATTTTTAAATCCAGTCCTCTCTTTTGATGGGCAGCATGGTTGTTTCCAGGTTCTTGCTAATGTGAACAACGCTGTGATAAACATACGTGTGCAGGTATCTTTTTTATAGAGTGATTTGAGTTCTTCAGGGTATATTCCCAGTAGGGGGATTGCAGGGTCATATGGAAGGTCGATTTTTAGAGCTTTTAGGAATCGCCACACTGCTTTCCACAGAGGTTGCACTAGTTTACACTCCCACCAACAGTGTAGAAGTGTTCCCTTTTCACCACACCCTCTCCAGCAGCTGTTATTTTTTGAGTTGTTGATAATTGCCATTCTGACTGGAGTTAGGTGGTATCTCAGTGTGGTTTTGATTTTCATCTCTCTGATGATTAGTGAAGTTGAGCATTTCTTCATGTGTTTGTTGGCTGCTTGGATGTCTTCTTTTGTGAAGTGTCTGGTCATATCTTTTGCCCATTTTATAATGGGGTTGTTTGTTTTTTTCTTTTCAGCATGTTTGAGTTCCTTGTAGATCCAGGATGTTAAGCCTTTGACAGACCTGGAGTTGGCAAATACTTTTTCCCAGTCTGTAGGCTGTCTCCCTGCTCTCTTGATGGTTTCTTTGGCTTTGCAGAAGCTTGTCAGTTTAATAAGGTCCCACTTGTCTATCTTCTCTCTTATGACCTGTGGGTTTCGGGTTTTGTTCAGGAATTGGATGCCAGTTCCAATTTTCATGAGGGTATTTTCTTCATTTTCTAAGGTTCTTATGGTTTGAGGTTTTACATTTAGGTCTCTGATCCATTTGGAGTTAACCTTTATGCATGGGGATAGATAGGGGTCCTGTTTTCAATCTTCTGCATGTGGTCAGCCAGTTTTCCCGGCACCATTTACTGAATAGGTTCTCCTCTCCCCAGTGGTAGGTGGTGGGGGCTTTTTTCGAACATGAGTTGGTTGAGACATTGAGGTTTTGCTTCTGGAATCTCAATTCTATTTCATTGATCTATATGCCTGTTGCTATACCAATACCAAGCTGTTTTGATGATTGTAGTTTTATAGTAGAGTTTGAAGTCTGGTAATGTGATACCACCTGCTTTGTTTTTTTTTTTGCTGAAGATTGTACTGGCTATTCTTGGACGTTTGTGTTTCCATATGAATTCCTGTGTTGTTTTTTCCAGGTCTGAGAAGAATGTTGCTGGTAATTTGATGGGTATTGCATTGAATTTGTAGATTGCCTTAGGTAAGATGGACATCTTCACAATCTTGATTCTTCCAATCCATGAGCATGGGATATTTTTCCACTTGTTTGTGTCATCTTTGGTTTCTTTGAGCAGTGTTTTGTAATTTTCATTGTAAAGGTCTTTCACGTCTCTGGTTAGGAAGATGCCAAGGTATTTCATTTTTTTGGTGGCTATTGTGAATGGAATTGTGTTTTTTATTTGGGTTTCTGTTTGTTTATTATTGGTGTAGAGAAATGCGATTGTTTTTTGTACATTTATTTTGTATCCTGAGACTTTGCCAAAGGCCTTTATCAATGTAAGGAGGCTTTTGACAGATTCTCTTGGGTTTTCAAGGTACACAATCATATCATCG